GATTTCAAATGAGAAATGGAAGTTTTCGAATTTTCTGATGAGCATAACCACCCGATGATCGAGGAAAATTTGAGACATTTTATATTGTCTGGCCGAAATCTTACAACTGCTACTAAAGACATTCTCAGTTCTATGGTAGATGCTGGTATTCGCACCAAAAAAGTTGTTCGTTACCTTCAAAATGAAGCAGGTGGTATTGAAAATGCTAGATTTATTGAACAAGATGCTCATAACTTCATACAAGCACGTAAAAGAAGTATGATTAACAGTGGAGATGCTCAAACTCTTGTGGATCGTTTTATGCATATGCAATCAGAGGATTCAAGCTTTTTTTACTCTTTTCAAGTTGATGAAGATGGAAGGATGTGCAACTTTTTCTGGAGAGATAGTATATCTAAATTGCATTATGAGTGTTTTGGAGATGTGATGATTTTCGATTCTACATATCGTACAAATAAATATGATATGATTTGTGCTCCATTTGTGGGTGTAAATAATCTTTTGAAAAATATTTTTTTTGGATGTGCATTCTTAAGTGATGAAACAACTAGTTCTTTTGTTTGGCTATTTCGTACTTTTTTGAAGGCAATGCGAGGCATATCACCCAAAACTATATTTACCGATCAAGCTCCTGCAATAGCGGCTGCTATTAAAGAAGTTTTTCCTGATACTTGTCATCATTTATGTAAATGGCATATTGATAGGAATGCCCAAAAGAATATACCTCAACTTTATTGGAAATCGGGATTTAGAGAAAAATATTTTGATAAACTCTTATGGAGGTGCAAGTCGGAATCAGAGTTTGAGTTGGTGTGGCAAAAAATGATTGAAGAATGGGATTGTGGGAGTAATAGTTGGCTCCAAAGGTTATATGACTTGAGGGAAAAGTGGTGTCCTGCATTTAGTCGATCTATTTTCTTTGCGGATATTAAATCAACTCAGAGGAGTGAGAGCACTAATAGAGTCTTCACAGAAATGGCTTGCAAGACTATGAGTTTAACTGAATTTGTTAATCATTATGAGCAACGGGCAGCTGAAATGCGTGACATTGAGGCGACAGAAGATTATAAATGTCGAGGAACACCTAAACTTGCAATAGATGATTGTAGGTTATTAAAGCATGCTGCAACTTTATACACTAGAACTATATTTACCAGATTTCAACATGAATTTTTGCAGGGGATATCTAAAAAGGTGATCAATACTGAAATTAATGGCACCTGTCACACATACACAATCCTCAAGGGAGAAGGCGGACAAATTGAGACATTGCAATTCAATTCTATGGACAATTCCATAAGTTGCAGTTGTCTTATGTTTGAATCTTTGGGTTGGTTATGTTGCCATGCACTAAAAGTTCTGTTTATTGACTTGAATTTTTCTTATATTCCTGCACAATATATTTTGAAAAGATGGACAAAGAATGCTAAACAAGGGAATGGTTTCGAGGAGTGCAGCAATAAAAAGAAAACATCAACTTCATCTATGGCTATTCACTTAAACGGGTTGATGAAAGAATCATTTACAGTTATGACTTTAGCTGCAAATGATGCCGAGTCTGAAGAAATTGCTAGAAAATATTTTTATTAAGCAAGGGTTGAGATCACTAAACTCCAAAGTGAAATATATGCAGAAGGTACCCATAGGAGTTGTTCCAAATCTAGTACATCTGTTGGCCCTTCTTTGGGATTCAATGATCAAGTTTTGGATCCAATTAAGAAAAAGGGTAATCGAAATGGATACGGAAGATTAAAACCAAGAACTGAGCAAAAGAAGAGGCGGGCACCACAAAAGACATTAAAAGCTAGAGCAACAGAACAACATGAGCAACAATCCTTGGGGTTAAATTTTGAGGTTCAATCTCTAAACTATCAAGTTATAATTTTCAATTTGTTACTAGTATTTATATTTTAATTTACTTATCGGTCTTGATTTGATTTTTTGATTTACTCCTTTTAATTCAATGATGCAGTTATATGGAGATCAAAACACTAGCTTCACACAACTGTTGACTCAGGCTTCAACTAACCAAATTGGAGGTGGCATTGAGAACCAAAGTTCAAACATCACTGGAAAAAATGTTGATTTTAGTGGCCAAGCCAATTGAGTGTAGAAATCGAATTAGTAATTGAGTTGGAATTACTAGTATTGAGACGGACAAGATTGTACGCATTTATTTTAGTTATGAATTATATTGATTTATGGATGAACTGAATTGATAGTGTCAGAGAGATCACTTGAACAGTATTTATAGTATGAATAATTTGAAGAGTCAACATATATTTGATTTATAATGTGTGTCTGGTGATGCAATTGTGTATATCCTATGTAGTAGTGTTATTGTGGTGTATGTTAATTGTATTCAGAGCAACATAATTTACTATAGCTTGTTTACATTGTTATATTTTATTTTTGCGAAGCATTTCAGATACAAAATTGTTCATTATGTATAGGTTGTATGTGACTGTCGTCGTTAGCTTCTTCTTCCTTGTCTTTTTGAAACTCATTTTCTTTTTCCAGTTTGTCATGGTTATTTTTTCTTGTACTAAGTGATTGGATTATCATAAAATACAACAAAAGGCATTTTAATGTAATTGCTTTTGTCAACTTATTTTTTGCTTTGAAGAGTACATAGATCATAATGCAATTTTTTTCACCGTAGTTTACTTTTTTTTTCTTTATTATAATATTATAATAATATAATAGGAGTAATGAAATAGATCATTTACTTTCTTCTTTTCCTTTTATTGTCCATTAGTTAAGCCTCTAATTAGGAAAAAGAGTAGACCTAAATATTGCCTTTTTTAGCTTATGCTTTAAAATAAGTAAGTAGGAACATGAGTCCACTTGTCAAGAAATAAACTAGACTCGCATAAATAATGTTGGTTATGTGACTCACATATTAAAATTTCTCGTCGAATGGTACAAATTTTGTAGGTAAAATGTGGACTGGGCGGGTAATATACAAAATATGCACATTTTTGATAATAAACTTTCGTATATGGTATAGGAAGGAAAAAATCCCAACATTCTTTTGATAGTCAATAAGGGCAACCATAAGACAAATTTCTAATGACAAGGATAGTTTTAAACCAAATTAACAAAAACATGCATCCATTTCGCTTATTGCAAGGGTACGCTTGAACCTTTTCTTAAAACAATTTAATACTACAATTATTTGACTGCTATTTTCCAAAATGAAAAGCTCCTAAAAAAACACACAAACTAAATGAAATGAAAAGACACTTGGAGAATATCTCCGAGCTACTTTAACTTCCAATATGAGATTTGAGTGACTGATGACAGCGTAGTTAGTTTTAGCATAGTTCCACGTCAAGTGTCACATTTTGTCGATTTTGCCCCAAAAAAAAAAATAAAAAATTACATGCTAGGTGAAGGCGGGTGGAAATACTGAAATCTATATAAAGAACAGGTAACTGTTTGACAAAATTGGAAATTTAAGGTTTTCAAAAAATGTAATTTGGATTCCCTTGCCATTTATGAGGTTGTTTGGACATTAGGTCCGGCAGATGAAGAAGATGGAAATACAGTACAGACCATTGAGAAATTGAGACAAGACTGAATATCAAACAGATGAACTCTTTCCTGCAGGAAGCTTTGGGAGGTTTTGAAATGAGAAAAAGAACGGTCAACGGAAAGTAAAGTAAATCATCGGTATAAAACCTTTGGTTTCTAACGACACGCAGCTCCGGCATACATTTTAGTTTCAGTAATGTGAGGCATGGATATATTCTTGACCATAGTTACAGCAATGTGCAAAAATAGATAGAATCAGTAGGAGAAATCACGGATAATGATGGGTTCAAATGCTTCTATTCAAAAAACTGAAGAGTAAGATTAACCCCCCAACACAAATACTAAGTCTAATTCTTGATATTCTCCAAGGAGAGACTAGTTAGCCAGCACATATTACATTGTGCAACCTGCTAAATGTGTCGTTCATCAAAGTACTAAAGAGACATAATGTTGTCGCAAACTTTGCCCCTCCTGTGCAAAGTTGCTCAAGTCTCCCTCACATTTCCACAACTGGCTCAACTTCAACCGAAAAGGGAAGCAATGGACTATGACAAACCGCCCCGTGGCATCACAGGGGAAAAAGGTGAGTAGGTCTTAATGTAGTAGAATAGAATCGAGTAAAATTACCAACAACAATACCAACAAAAAAGCCTCAATGACAAGCTAGCTGAGTTTGGCTATATCAAGTCTCACTATCCACGTCGCTCCAGTTAGAGATCTCTCAATCCAATAATTAAGCATCAAGTGAAACTACCAAGCAGCAGCACAAAAGTAGTACTCTCAGAAAGATATGCATTGATAGAACGAGCAAATCAATTACTGAATAAAACATAAATAGCTGAATTCTGGATCACTATTATCTGGCTCAAACTTTAGGTCAAATGACAAACTAAATATAATTAAGAAACAACAAAACCTTCTATACTCTTGCTACAAGAAATTTTCTCCAAGATACAAGAATATGAATGATAGAGCAACTCTCAATGATCTCCGGGCAGAGACTTGATGATGTCCGAATCACCTGAAACATTCATTAGCCCGCAGACGTAAGACAAAAGGATCCTTATGAACTTCTAGGAAATTTCAATGTACAACAGTAGGAACTCTCAGATGTACTTTACCTGGGTCAATTATGCTTAGGCATGAGACACGGAAATACTTGCCACATGCTGTCCCAAGATCAACATTGTCTACACAAAAAAGTTGCAAGGACAATAAAGAAAACTTAGTAGTTTTATCGAAAACAGAACACTTGGAGTCAAAAGGCATGAGCTATTCCCACACGTTGTCAATGGGTAAAAGTAGCAAATCTAAATGTACTGATACAGGTGAAATCCTATGAACTGAAGACAACACAAGTACACAACTACCATTGACCTTATCATCAGTTATACGGAAAATGTGAACAATCAATCACACATAACTGCAATACATTCTCCAACAAATATGCATAAAATGTCTGGTTGGGGAAAATAAATTGGATATAAAGTATAATGAGACCGAGTTTTTCATTTGCTAAACCTGTACTCCACTCATTCCAATTTATGTGGCACTATCACTATTCAAAGAATCAAACAATTTTTTACACATTTTTTCATATGCTTCTATTGATTACTTCCTCCGCACATTTTATGTGGCCTTGTTTGATTGGACAAGGGGTGTAAGAAAGAAGAAAAACTTTTCAAACTTGTGGTTTAAATTCAAGTCATTGACACTCGTGTGGCTATAGATATCCTCACTAAGGGTAAAACGGAAATTCCAAAGTTAAATTATTTCTAAATACATAAAGTGTTATTGGTTTTGGGATACACTAAAATGAAATGTGTGCCACGTAATTGGGACAGATGGAGTACAACACATTGTGATTTATAGTACTTATACCTAGTCTTAAACATGTAAAATTTTAATTCACAAACGAAACTAGGAAACTAATTCGCTTAAAAAATTAGATGCATCACCAAACCCCACAAAGGACCAAACTTAATTACTAGATAGCCATAAGAATTAACACATAAACTAACAATGATGAAACTCAAGATCTTTGAAGAATGCTTACTCCCATTGAAATGGTGAACACCAACTTTAGAGAGCATAGCATAGTACTCAATCTCAGATTTCCTCAACGGAGGACAGTTGTTGGATATCAATATCAACTTTCCTGTGATAAATAAAATTTATCACATTTAGTCCAAATAAATTACAAAAAAAAAAAGGCAGAAATATTTTATTTTTTTTAAATGAAGAACCTTTAGAGCTCCTGAGGGTCTTGAGAACAGTCTTGTAACCAAGAGAATACTTGCCGCTCTTCATTACAAGTGCTAACCTGTTGTTTATGCTTTCATGTGTCTTCTTCTGCAAATTACAAATTTTGCATTAATAGTCGCCCAAAAAAACAAAAGAAAAATATAACAAAAAAGGGAATAAATGAAGGGGCAGAAATGGGTATTTCATACTGTTTTCTTTCCAGTGGTCACCATTGTAGATGCAAAGATCTGAGAATCGAAGGAAGTGGAAAAAGGGGAAAGGGGAAAGGGGAAAGGGGAAAGGAAAGGTTTCTGCTTAAAACTGTGAGATTAGGGTTTTGCCAGGGCGGCTCTAGGAAAAGCAAGTGAAGCCCTTGCCTTAGGCCCCAAATAATTAACGGCCCGACAATAAAAAGTACTAGTACTATATTATTATATAATATAACTTCATAATTTATATTTATATAATTATTAATAGAAAATTTAAATTTTAATAATTTTTAATATTTGGTAGACGTAAGATTGAGTGAGTTAATTTGATAAATTTTTCTTATTAAATTAAATAACATATTTTTCTTCTCATCAATTTTTTTAGTCTTTTTTCATGGTTCTTACGATTTTACTTTCTAATTTCAACTCCAATTTTCTAAATTAACTATTTCTTTTTGTCACATTTGATTGATCCACACACCAGAAAGCAAGTTCTTTTGTGTCTCATCTTTTTTAACTAAGAAATCCCCGAAGCAAATGTCGCAAGGTTCAAAACATGACGAATAATGGGGCTCACCCTTTACCATTTTCACTTAAGGGAAGAATTCAATACCATATGACGCGCAAACTAACTCATACATCATGAGTTGTGCTCTCACCACAATATCAAAGTCATGTAGGTTTTTTTTTCTGTCCCAATATTATATGGATTTTATAAAAGACGTTTCAGGGTCTTTTAAATAAATTTTGGTTTTAGCCACCAGTTTTATTGAGCCGCCCCTCATTGACAATCAACAATTATTTACAGACTACAGCCCCGCTATAAACGTATTGCTCAACCAGCTTCATTCACATTTGGTAACTGAATGACAAACCCACTGCCTTTAATGCTCTTGTCATTGTTGTCTTATTTTAAGTGAGACTCTATAAATTTTATTGAGAATGTCAGGAGCGGATAAGTGGCTCTAGTAGGAGACTAGTAAAGACTTGATTTAGGTCCCCCAAAATTTTTAATAATGGATTTTGTAATTTTATTTTAAATTAGACAATATTAATGTTTGTAGAAAAAATAAAAAAGTACAAAAAAAATTGTAAAAAAGAAAGAAAGGTGTCTACT